AATATTTAGAATGATGTTTAGTTACTTGAACATATGGCCAGTGTAAGACTAGAGGGAAGGCAGCTAGTCATCACCACCCATCGCCAACTCTTTTACCAACGAATAGTGGGATTGGCCGTCACATAATAACGCCCCCACGGCTGAAAGGGGAGAATGTTTGGTGTGACGGAGATTCGAACCCGCGACCTTTAGATTGCGAGTCGAGCGCCCTAACCACCTGGCCATGCCGGGCCTTTACAGTGTACATGAGCTGTCGTAACAATACACTGTTTTGAGAAAAGTATAAACCTAATATCTAGAATTTTTGTATTGTAGTTAAGCACAAAGCTACACAATGGGCTATCTGTGCTCTTCTCACCACGGGTATCTAAACCTGGTTTCTAGCGTTGTAAGTCCGCAGACATGCCGTTGTGCAACTAGGGAGGGGGCTTTTTTGAGAAGGAAAAACGGCTGTCTTCATTACTCTCAAAACACTTTCACGTATCTCGTCTGCGTCAATTTATAACGGTAAAATCTGGGGTTTGATTCCCCGCAATGGACACAGCAGATAGCCCAATGTAGCTTTGCTCTAACACAGAGAAACAAACATAAACCTTATCTACACACCTTTTTTTTTAAACTGATTATAACTCAAAAAGAGAAATTGTACTCTTCGTGACGTTTGAATTGACTGCGATAACTTCTAAACACTGTTGAGATATACAACTCCAATGAGAGTATAAGACTGTTACTTATTTCTTCCTTATATCCTCGATAACAATGTACCATTTCTAAACATCAAATTTATGTCAAGTTTATTTTGCTAAATTAGGGACGGCTAGCGCAGACAGCCCTCGTGTAGCTTTGCGCGAAATTCAAAAACAAACAACACAATTGTAAACAAACATTTCAATTCTCGAAACCGTTCTTTCATTAACATGACCACTATTCAACGAAATGCTGTTTACAACAACTTTTAAAACAAAAAGCTGTTTAGATTCAGATTCAACCACTGATTCCATTACAGATGCAGTAATTATCATTTAAATATTCATCGTAGTCACAGGTACGTGTAAATAGGGCAAGTATGTTTAAGTAGGTTATATTTCTTAATAAACGAGGAAACATATGTGAGAAACAAGTGGAATTGACGCTTTCCAGAGAGATTAAACTTCAGTATATAATCGCTAGTTAAACTGTACAGAAAATTATTTTGTAAACCAAGATACCACCATGTGTAAGATCACTGAGGACCAGCAGCGGTTGGATATTTCTGTTAATCAGGTTAAACTTGTTGTATAGAAAAGGCCATGAGCACTATCTGAAGCAATTGAATGACTCCTAAGTTAGGAACGGCTAGCGCAGATAGCCCTCGTGTAGCTTTGCGCGAAATTCAAAAACAAACATTGTCTACCAAACTAGCAGGGACGAAAGTCGTACATCGTATAAGCTTGTATATTTGTTTGAAACTCGAGCTAGTTAATAGTTTTAACAAACAAAATTACTTACTTCAACATCTTGATTTTCTGCATTATATAATAGATACCTATGCCTTATTTCACTCTGTTGTTGGATAGAAAACAAAGAGAAATATTTAGAAACGAGTTGTATTTCTTGGATATATACTATTTTAACTCTGTGGAATATATGGGCAATGTTCATCTAATGTTCTTGGTAAAGTGTCCTTCCTTTGTCTTACCAATTTCCTATCCTTACGAAGTGGGTCTATAACTTCATTAGGCCTGGCATGGCCTAGTGGTTAAGGCGGGTTCGAATCCCCTCACCGAACGTGCTCTCCATTTCAGATGTGGAGCGTTATAATGTGATGATCGATATCGCTATTTTTTTTAGTAATGAGTAGTCCAAGAGTTGGCGGTGGGTGATGTTAACTTGTATCCTTTTCCCTAGTCTATCACTTTTATATTCAACAAAACAAGCACACTATAACTTCTTCCCGCTAACTAATACTTAAGAAGGTATAAAACTGACCAAATGATATTTTAAATAAAACTTTACAGCCCTTGTGGATCTTTATTTTCTACCATCCATTCTTAATTAAATCTGATAATTGGTGTAATTAGTAACAATACCAAAATTTTGATCAGCAGCAGTAAGAAATATGGAAACATCTTCCACCCACCACCCATTCCCAATCATTTTCCCATCAAAACGAATATCGTGAAAACCTATTAAAGGGTTTTCTACTTCTGTTTGAGTAGGCCTAAAAGAATAGATATTGAAAATGTAAACTTTTCAGTGAAATATAAGCGTTTTAAAATAAATGTCACAGTTTCATTTTAATAAACAAAGACGTTAACATAAGAGAGATAACCACAAATGTTTCACTTCTCAATTTTCTGTTTTATAGGGAAAGGTTAAATATACAGATGTTTTTAACTTATTTAACAGGTGCAGAATAGTTAATTAATGGTATCTTTTAAACAAAAATATGAAGTCCGTCACTACATGTCAAAGGTTTCACTTCCTCCATCTGGTAACCTTGCAAGGAACAAGGAAAACTGTTACTTCAGTAGTCTTAACGGACAAGTACTGTTGCTAACACTCTCTCACGTTTTATACACAACTTTCTGATACACCAGTAGTCTTAACAGACAAGTAGTACTGTTGCTGACACTCTCTCATGTTTTATACACAACTTTCTGATACACCAGTAGTCTTAACAGAGAAGTCCTGTTGCTAACACTCTCTCGAATTTTATAAACAACTTTCTGATACATCAGTAGTCTTAGCAAACAAGTACTGTTGCTTAAATTATATCATGTTTTATACACAACTTTCTGATAGTTCAGTAGTCTTAACAGACAAGTACTGTTGCTAACACTCTCTCATGTTTTATACACAATTTTCTGATACACCAGTAGTCTTAACAGACAAGTACTGTTGCTAACACTCTCTCGTGTTTTATACACAACTTTCTGATGCTTCAGTAGTCTTAACAGACAAGTACTGTTGCTAACACTCTCTCGTGTTTTATACACAACTTTCTGATGCTTCAGTAGTCTTAACAGACAAGTACTTTGCTAACACTCTCTTCTGTTTTATACCCAATTTTCTGATACACCAGTAGTGTTAACATACAAATACTGTTGCTAACACTCTCTCATGTTTTATACACAACTTTCTGATACTTCAGTAGTCTTAACAGACAAGTCCTGTTGCTAACACTCTCTCATGTTTTATACACAACTTTCTGATAGTTCAGTAGTCTTAACAGACAAGTACTATTGCTAACACTCTCTCATGTTTTATACACAACTTTCTGATACTTCAGTAGT